AACTCCTTCAAATTTCTTCTAACATCCAACCTTGAAATTTCAACTTAGAAGAACAAGCCCGTAGAGAATATATAATTCCTCTTTTTTTTAAACCAAACAACCGACTTTCATTCACAAGAAACTAAAATAAGAGATACAATCAGGTGGAAGGTAGCACTCCTTGCAAGAATATGGGCAAAACAACACGTTTGCATGTACAAAATTGATAAATTTTAACACCTAATAATTAAATAAATTTTATATTGAGCATTGATGAAAGAATAACTTTTAGATTTTTTTTGCTAAAATATTTTCAAATTATTATTTTATTTAGGCTAAACTCCACCATTGGTCCTTCAACTTTATCAATTGTGCACGATTGGTCCTTCAAGTTTTAAAAGTCCATAAATAGTCCTTTAACTTTATGAGTTATGCATGATTAGTCCTTCAAGTTTTAAAAGTGCATAAATAGTCATTCAAGTACACGTCAGCCCTCCAGATGAGGTTCTTTTGACAGTAAATGTTAAAAGCTAAATGGAATACTAGCTCCATATAATACGGAGTAGTCATACCTAGTGGAATTTACTCGTATTATATGAAACTAGCATTCCGTTTAACTTTTAATATTTACTGTCAAAAGGTCTTCATTTGGAGGGCTGACGTGTACCTGAAGGACTACTTATGGACTTTTGAAACTTGAAGGACTAATGATGCAGAACTCATAAAGTTGAAGGACTATTTATGGACTTTTGAAACTTGAAGGACCGATGGTGAATTTTAGCCTTTTATCTAAGTAAATGACATTATCAGTAAAAAATCAATCACGATTAAGTACAAAAAATCTAAATTGAACAAATAATTTGAGACGGATGAAGTATCTCAAAATGTCTCGTGATGTACTCCATACATTTTTAATTAACACATGGTATAAAGAAGGAATAATAATTCTCTCTAGAAATTAAAATGCCAGGTTCCTCTTCATTTCCCATTAAAATCGGGATTGGATAATACGAGTACGTATTATTATTATCGAAGAAGTGTCAAGTGATTGAGATTTGAGACTAAACCCAAAGACGTTCTCATTTATACATCATAAAGTGTCAAAAGATAAAAGTGTATTGTTCAAATTCGTTATAATAATAATAATAATAATAATAATAATAATAATAATAATAATAATAATGTGACTCCCCTATTCTATGCCTTAAAAATGTTAAAGTTTAAAAAATACTCCCCCGTCCCTTAAAGTCGTCGTTCCCTTACCGACTTTTTTGGAAAATTAATTAAGGGATGAATATTTTGATATTGATTTTCCAAAAATATTCTTGATGTGGTGAGTAAAATTAAGATGCGATGAATAGATTATTAGTAAAAATGTATAATATGATTAATAAGGTATGAAGAAATAAGGGTCAAATTAAAAGTAATTTTTTAATAGATAAGGAAAGGAGTTTAAGAGACTGGAAAGAGTAATCATTATTTTGGAACGAAGAAAAATAAAAAATGCAAAAAGTTGTGTCAATAATTGGAGACATATAATAGTGTGGGAGAGGAGTTATATGTCCCCATTTCTTGAGGCCCCAAAGTACAATATTAGATTCTCTTCATCATATAGATCCGAGTACTTTCAATTCGGAAACTTCTTGGATTTCCCTATCCAATTAAACCGATTGGAAGATTAAAAGAAAGTCACTTGTTGTACTTATTTGGTCTTAGAGTGGAGTGTGTAACTTGATCTATCATCTATGAAATATTTACTCTGTCCCAATATTAAAATTTGATTTTGACTTCACACACTTTAAGATAAAAATTGAACGTGTGTTACATTAATTTTTTTCTTTTAGACATTAAAAATACTACACCTCCCTCTGTCTTCAAGTTATCTTCACATATTCTACACATTATTTCCACAGTCAAACTTGATTCAGTTTCTTTGTTAATTTTTTACTTTAGTTATTTGATAAAATAATATAGTTATGTCGTTATCTCTAGTTTTGTAAAACTTTTGATGTAGCTGATTTTTAAATATATAAATTTAGTTTTAAAATTTTACCATTATAGTCAAATAAATTGAAATAAAAATAATGTTGATCAAACCTCGTAAACCAAAATAGATTGTTACTTTTAGGACGGAGAAAGCATATCCATGTAAAAAGATAAGAAATTTTTACACTAAATAGCACTAAAATTTAAGTCATTTCCCTAAATAGCACTTAAACTATTTTATTCCCTAAATAGCACTTAATAATGTCCATAATGTCCAGTGATGGTGAATATTTGCTTGAATAATGACTAATGCATAATGACTAAAAGTGCTACATTGGGAAGAAAAACATATGTAATGCTATTTAGAAAAAGTCATTATGTTTAAGTGCTATTTAAGTAAAATCCTCAAAAGATAATGAAGATGTGAAAGAAATTGCAGATTGGTAGAAAAAATAAACTAGTACCGTAGTACGTATGATAAAATTGATAAAATCTGCTTTTATTGAAAAATGAAAGTTTATTTCCTATAAATGTAGTCATCTTGCCTGCCATGACTTCATCTTGCACAAAATGATAGTGAGAACTAATTAACATGCTTCATAAGGTCGTCATGCTAAACTAGATTCTGGTGGCATGGATCATTGTCGCAGTAGAGCCAAGGTTTTGATGGAGGAATGCTTAGAAAATCAGTAATGTACAATAGCCATATACCTTCTGCAACACCCGCAATCGTGGTACGTCCCAAAGTCAATTAAACTTACACACCTCAATTGACAAGGGTTGGGAGATGATCTTGGTTAGGGTTGAGTGTGGATGGGTGGATTCACCTGGGGAGTGAGGGATAGAAACTACTCCCTCTGTCCCAGCAAAAATTTCTTGTTTTGATTTTTAAGAGATTCAAGAAGAGTGTAATTTAATGTTGACTTTAAAAATGACATTAGATGAGATAGGTAAAAGTAGATTGATGGGTAGATTAATAGTGAAAAAGTGTGATGTGGTAGATATGTTAAGAATTAGTAAGAGTAAAAGTATTTTTTTAATATAAATGAAATTTTTTTTTGGGGCCGGTGAAAAAAGAAAGAAGAAATATTCGTGAGAAGGAAGGAGTATTAATTTTACAAACGGATTACTACAAATATTTCTCCCAATCAAGATAACGTCTTATGTGACTATTCAAAGTGAATGACGATAGAATCTCTCCTTTAAAAAAATTGCTTGGCCTCCATATTAGCATGGGATTATGATCAATTTGTCGGTAAGTCACATTTTTTCCCAATTTGGCACAGTACTATTTACTACAGCTATTTGTGGACTTAGAAGCCATCAAATCCTGAATGTTTCTTGAAGACTTTAACTTCAATTAAATTTCATTTCTTTTTTCTATTTTTGAAAAGAAAACTTCATTCTTTGAACATCAATTCATCAGTCAATTCTAATCTGAAGAAAAATTCCGAAATGAATGAAAGATAGTCAACTCTTCCCGGAAAGAGAGAGACATAAGCTGGGAAGGTCTTAGTGCCCCCATAATCCTTAAGTATCGAACCATTTGTGCAAAATTACTCTAAGGGTCCGTTTGGTATACAGAATTGGTGGAATTGAAATTGAAATTTCATGGGATTCAATTCCATAGAATTGAATTTTGTCAATTCCAATTCATTTTTTGCAGTATCAGTTCCAAATCCACATAAATTTTGTGCTACCAAACACCAGAATTGGAATTGAAGTCCACAATTCCAATTCAATAGTTTGAATTCCATGTACCAAACGGGACCTAAACTTTTTTGGCATAAATTTTGAGTTTCATACTGCGACATGAAGATATTGGCCGGCGAGTTCGGTGTAAAGTCCCCCACGACACCGAGACTCGATCAAAGGAGAGGTGATTCCGGTCGGGACAGGTGTCACTAACGCCATACCGACGCCACACCTAATGGCCTAATTTGAAGCGAATACAGATCTCATATTTTAGTGGGTAAGGCTGTAAACGGATAATATTCGTGACGGATATGGCATATTTGAGTCCGAATCTGATTAAGTTTTGAAGTATCTGTATTCGACGGATATTTACATTTCTATATCCGAATCCGTAACTGACGGGTAATTCCCGATTTCGAATATATCGGGATCCGATTACATATCCAAAATCAACCAAATATCCGAATCTGACCGAGTATCAATGTGTTCAAACCTATGAACAAAAATGTAAGATTGGGGCAAAGGGATTCGAACCCAATACTTTCAACCTTAAAATTCAAAGTTATAGGCATTTGAGTTAAATCAAATAATCAATATTTGTAAGCTGTACATAAAATATATTTGTTTTTTAATACATGTCGTGTTCGAACTTTTTGAACAAAATAATCTACACCTAACCATAAAATTTTATATTTTTCTTTAAATAAACATCATATCATTTATAATTATAAGCATACTCTTGTTATGTGATACTCCCTCCGTCCAAAATTAAACTTTACATTACGCGTTACGATGTTTGACTGAAATTATTTTCAAATCATTTTATATGAAAAATGGTGTAGAATTAAAAAATAAAAATTATATATTAAAAAACTATATCAAAAGATCTACAAAACTAGAGATGACATGACTATATTATTTTATCAAATGGGTGACGAAAATAGGCCAACAAAGTGAATAAAGTTTGACCCTGTGAATAGTGAACGTAAAGCTTATTTGTGGACAGAGGGAGTAATATATTATTATACTCTCTATTTAAAAGTAGTTCAAAAAACTTGGTAAATAACACTACAAGGCAATAAAAGATACAGTTATTGGGCTACTGAAAAGCCCAAGCTTAGATACCCTCTTTCTTTGTGGATTATTGGGCTAGTCCAAAGATCCATATGTGCACGATCCAAGATACAGCAGAATACTTCCCAACAATTAAAGTTCCTACATCTTTATTGCCATCTAACCTAAATTTCCATTGGGCCAAGTTACATAACCCAAAAGGCCTCGTCACAAAGAAATTCAAATTAAGTGACAATTATAGAAAAAAGAAAAATTATAGCAACACCTAACACCCTAAATGACACCAACGTGCAATATGACTCACAAACAAGTATTACTTCCGCCTCCCATACAATATACTCCCCCGTCCCGTAAAACACTTCCTCTTTCTTTTTTTATCCGTCCCTTAAAACTCTTCCCATTTCCTTGAAAAAGACTTATTTGCCCCTCCACCCAAACCCTACCCATTCAGTACCTGACCAGCCACCACGAATCACTTCACCGATTCCCACACCTTCTTCGTCTCTCTCTAGATCTGCGTTTTACTCTTCCTCCTCTCCAGATCTAAGTTCCTCTCTTCCTCTTCTCTATATCTAAATCTAATCTTCTCTCTCGAAAAATAGATCTAAAGGTCCTGAACTTCAGATCTTCTTCTCTTTGCCTTGATCCGATGTTATCTCGCGATCCTTCGATGCCCAGTTTTCAACTTTTGAGTGATAGTGATGATGAGGCACTTCCTAGATATGGATCCCCTCCTCCATCTAAGGTTGAGATTAAGAGGGCTGAGTTAAATCGATGGGGATTTGATGGAGGAGATACGGATTCATCCGAAACAGATCCAACTTGGAGCTTCCGCAAAAAATATCTAGGGGGTGGTTATTATTCTGACCCTGAACGGAGTTACGGAGAAGAAGAGGATGAAGAGGAAGATGGGGAATCGGTGACCTCTGCGGAGATAATGGAGATGTGTGAAGAGGAATTCCTCTTTGCAGAACCTACAGGAGACCCTGCAAAACAGAGTACATTTCCTATACTCTCTTTTACTTATAT